GACAAATGATCTTTTTTTTTACAAGTAAAAGGAAAGACAGAGGAATCCTACCATTTAAAAAATATTTGAACCTATCTACAGTGTCAGAGCATATTATTACTACATACTATGTGCTCTCTTTTAATTGTAGTTCAGTTTTAACTCAATAGGTCACTGTACATTTAATGTTCACCATCAGTCCTTATGTCATTGTATGTCTAATTTTGGATTTCTAAAGCCTGTTCTCTAGTGGATTTCTAGGAAGGCCTTGTGGGAACTATGCTCCCTAAGTTCTGGAATGTGGAAAACAGTTCAGCTGTGGGTCTTAATGCTTGAAGTTAGTGAGGGATACAAAATCCTTGATTCAAATTTTCTTTCTTTGGGTATCTAAATATATATTTCTATTGTTTTATGCAAGTACTACTGATGAGCAAAGTCTGATGACAATCTGATTTTCTTTATAAGAGAATAAGCCATTTGATCTTTTTGACTAGATGCTCAATTAATTTTAGTAGAGTATATCTTAATGTTGGTTTTTCTGGGTCAGTATTCTTAGGTACATGATTGGCCCTTTCATTATGTGGTTTCAGATGTTTTTATTTTTATATCAGAAAAGTTTTCTCCAATTATTGTTATATTGGTTTAATTTCCTTTATTTTTCTTCTTTAGGACTCATTCATTATATGTATGTTGGATCTTCTTTAAGTATCGTTGATATTTGCCATTTTCTTTCTAATTTTTTGCCTTTTTCATTTGTTTTAGTTAAAAAATTGTACTTTTTATGTTCTCTTTCATTTACACAGCAGTTCTGTTGTGTTTATTAACTCTTTGTTCTAGTTTAATTCTTCTTTTTTGAATTGATTTTTCCATTTCTTTTTGTCTCCTGAGTTTTATCACCTAAGCTATGGGTAGATAATTTGGGGGGGGGGGTTAATTCTAATTTATGTTGTTCTTTTGTATTGTGAATAATTTTTAAAAGTCTTTTCAGCTTGTTTAGAAATAGTAGGTTATAGTGTTTACCTATTTTGTTGGCAGGTCTTTGTGGTGTGCTTTCATTGTGTTCAGAGATTTATCCTGTTCTTTTTTTTTTTAATGTAACTTTGTATCAGATTTCACTTCTATCATTTTCTTTTATTCATTTTTATGTGAAGTTAGTTAGCCTTTCTAAATACACAGAGATCTTCTCCAGTTTCTGTGTAATGTTTGAAAGTATGTCACCTTGCTATATAAGATCTCCTCACTCCTTTCTCCTTCCCCACTTTATCTAGAATTTCGCTTTTCTTTTTTTTCTATTGCCTCTCGTCTCTTCAGTTTGGATCCTGTTCCCAGCAGTTTCTCCTTGGTGTGACTTTGTTCTGGAGGAGAACTTTGACTGATTAGTTTTGAGAATTGTAGTGACTGGATGCCCTTAAGAGTTTATTGTGAACCCTTTCAATCATATGCTATTGTAGTGAGCAAAACCCATTCCTTTTTATTCACTTTTCTCATTTTCGCCTGCTCTGCTTCATAGAGAGTCCCTGTTGGCTATTTTGCAGTTATTTTGTTCTGTGGACTGGTAAAATGCCCTGTTACTGTCCTCTGCTTTTTCCTGCACAGATGATACTACCCACATAGATCTTGTAACTATTGGTGGCTTGTCCCCACCTTCTTGTATTTTGGGATTTTGTACATGAGGTTTTGATTTTGCTGTCTAATTGCTCTAATTTATGAGGTTTAAAATGTAAGCTGGGGCTTCCCTGGTGGCGCAGTGGTTGAGAGTCCGCCTGCCGACGCAGGGGACGCGGGTTCGTGCCCCGGTCCGGGAAGATCCCACATGCCGCGGAGCGGCTGGGCCCGTGAGCCATGGCCGCTGAGCCTGTGCGTCCGGAGCCTGTACTCCGCAACGGGAAAAACCGCAATAGTGAGAGGCCCGCGTACCGCTAAAAAAAAAAAAAAAAAAAAGTAAGCTGTTGTCTTCCCAGAATTTCCACAAAATTTTTCATATTAAAAAGTTGTGAACTACTACCCACTAGACCGTGCTGGCTTCTGCTCTCAAGGTTAATGTGATTGCATTAAATATGATCTAAACTATAGTTAAAAGTTAACTATATGTTATTCTTATATTGTTAATAACTACTAGATTGGTGTCTAATTAAGAGCCTTTCTGTACCATCTACAGCTAGATTGTTATAAAAACTGAATATCGTATGTCTTTGGTGACCTCTTGAATGCGTTAGCTAGGAAAAAGATATGGAAGAAATTTCTCATATGTAAAATATTAAGAATAATTATCGGGAGTTCCCTGGTGGTCTAGTGGTTAGGATTCAGCAGTTTCACTGCTGTGGCCTGGGTTTAGTCCTTTGTCGGGGAACTGAGATCCCACAAGCCGTGTGGCAATGACAATGCTGGATTTTAAAATATATATATATAACAGCTTTACTGAGATGTAACTCACATACCTTATAATTCATTCAATTAAAGTATACCATTCAGTGGGTTCACAGAGTTGTGCAACCATAACAGCAATTAATTTTAGAACATTTTCTTCATCACAGAAAGAAACCTCATACTCACTAGCAATGACTCCTCATTTCACCCCAATTCTATCCTTCCCTCCCCAGTAACCCTTGGCAACAACTGATCTTTCTGTCTCTGTAGATTTGCCTATTCTATACATTCCATATAAATGGAATCATACAATATGTGGTCTTTTGTGACTGGCTTTTTTCACTTAGCATGTTTTCAAGGTTCATCCATGTTGTAGCATATATCAATAGTTCATTTTTTAAATTGTCAAATAATATTCCATTATATGGACATATCACATTTTATTTATCTGTTCATAATTTGATGGACATTTCAATTGTTTCAACTTTTTTCTATTATTAGCAATACTCTTATGAACATTTGTGAACCAGTTTTTGTATACATGTATGTTTTCATTTCTCTTGGGTATACACCCAGGGATAAGATTGTTGGGTCAAATAGTAACTATATGTTTAATCTTTTAAAGAACTACCAGGTGATTTTTCAAAGTGGACATAGCATTTTACATTACCACCAGCAATGTATAAGGGTTCCCATTTTTCCATATTCTTGTCAACACTTGTTATTGTCCATCTTGTTGATGATAGTCATCCTAGTGGATGTAAAGTGGTATCTCGTTGTAGTTTTAATTTTCATTTGCCTAGTGGATATTGTTGTGCAACTTTTCATGTACTTATTAATCACTTGTATATCTATTTTGGAGAATGTCTATTCAGATCCTTTACCCATTTTTAATTGAGTTTTTGGTCCTTTTACTATTGAATTGTAAGAATCCTTTATATATTCTAGATATATGTCTCTTTCAGATATATGATTTTGTAAATATTTTTTCACATTCTGTGGATTGTCTTTTTACTTTATTGATGATATTCTCTGAGGGGCAAAAGTTTTCAATTTTGATAAGGTCCAGTTTCTCTGTTTTTTCTTTTGCCACTTTACTTAATTTGTCAAATCTAAGAATTTTGGACTAAATCAAAGTCACAAAGATCTACTCCTATAGTTTCTTCTAAGAGTTTTATAGTTTTAGCTCTTACATATAGGTGTGTGATCTATTTTGAGTTAATTTTTGTGTATGGTGTGAAGAAGGGGTCCAGATTCATTGTTTTTCATTTAGCTCTCCAGTTGTGCCAGCACCATTTGATGACCCACAAAATCTGATATGTAGTATGTTCATTTTTCTTCAATTCCACTTTCTTGTTTATATTATGATTGTTTCTCTGATACATGAGTTTTTCTAGACTCTTCTCCTTTCCAACCCATTTGTGATCTAGTTACATTTTTGTAATTGATTTCTCACTTAAATGCATTTTGCTCAGAGATTGTAGTATATTATAATACTAATTATTTGAGATTTGAAGAGGATAATATTATGGTCTAGTTATAATGTAGTCAATTTTCATTCCTTGTGTGCCTGTAAAGAATGAATATTCACATTTGTTGTATATAATTACTTTATGTTTCTTAGATCAAACTTGATAAATTAGAAGTTTATGTCATTTGTATCCTTAGTAATTATTTAATCGACCCAGTGTCAGTTTTGGATTAAAAGTGTGTTAAAATCTTTTACTGTCAAGGTGGGTTTCTCTGTTTTTTCCTTTTAGTTCTGTTGATTTTATTTTTTCAATGTTTAGTTTTAACTCATTGTGGGAAGTTTCAAGCATACCCAAAAGGAGAGAAAATAGTTTAATCAGTCCCTCCCACCCTCCCATCTTTAATCATTATGAATATACATGGCCATTCTTATTTCATATATTCTCTCTACCCTCTTCTGTGCCTCTCCAGTATTTTCTAGGAGATCCTAGACATATACTGTTGCTTTATGGACTCAGTTTAGATTTACTCACACATTACCACAGTGTTTGCTCCACAGTATTTGGACCTCATGATGTCCATTCCCTTTTACATCTCAGCCTGTCTGCAAGCATTTTCCTTTTGTTCAAAATATTTTAGTATTTTAAGTATCTTCTAGTGAAATCTTAGTGGTAAATTTTCTCAGTTTTTGTTTGCTTGAAAATGTTTTTATTTTAATCTTATCTAATTTTCAGAAAATTAATGCAGAACTCAAGTTGATAGTTATTCTCCCTAAGTATTTTGAAGATATTACTCACTTAGCTGCCATTGTTGCTGCTGAGAAATAAATAGGAAGTCTAATTTCTGTTTCTTTTTAGGTAATCTCATTGGCTACTTTAAGGACTATCTTTTTCTTTGGTATTCTGCAGTTTCACCATGATGTGACAAATAAAAGTATGTCATAAGTTATTGGATGATAGTAATTTTGAGTTACTAACATTAAACTTCTTAATATTCTACTTCTAAATGGTGATCAGTAGTCTGTCAACAGCTAAGTACATAAGGGAATGCTTGCTATTTATTTTAAAAGACCCTATGGTGTATCTTTCTGAAGTACACAATTTGTCAGCTTTAAAACTTTTTTCTCAAGACCATGTGTATGTAAACAGAGATAGAGATAGTATGCTTTCTGTATCTTTCCACAGCGCTATTGGAAATAATTATGAAAAATGGAAGCACTGCTGGAAATAGCCCTCATTGCCGAAAACCGTCAGGTAGTAGTGATCAAAGCAAGCCTAACTGCACAAAGGACAGCTACTCTGGTAGTGGTGAAAGTGGAAAAGGCTACACCAAAGACCAAGTAGATGGAGTTCTCAGGTAGGAATAAATAACTTATGTGTCCATTATAACTGATACTAATATAAGTTTAATGTCGTAACACCTAAAAAATGGGTTTGGATTATAATTCAGTAGCAGAACAGACATTGAGGAATTGAACTCTGGGTGTCTTATGCTTTATATTCTTTATAAAATCAGTCTGTAAATTACCAACTCTGGAAGTTTCCATCTTTTAAAGTAACTATAAGCCACAAAGCTACTTACAGAAAGAAAATTTTTGAGGCAAATTGTTTCAATTTTTGACACAGTACAGTGTTTAGATAACAATATTGAAAGAGGATAAAGAATTGTTTTGTCATATATATATGTATATATATGAAAGCAGGAGAATTTCATATGAGAAGAAGATTGAGGGCAACTGCAGCAGCATTTTCAATTTCCTACTTATATTAATGAAGGATAGTTTTTTTTTCTGTTTATATTCTTTCTTTAAGGCTATCTTTATACATATGCAAACACTATAACGTCCTCTCCTTTTAATATTTTTCTTACTCTGATCATTCTGTCTCAGTGTTTTAGTTTTACTTCATGATACACTTCTACTTAAAGCAGAAGAATTAGGTAGAATTGGAAAATTATGAACTGGGTTTTGGAGATTGACTTTATTAATTTTATAATTAAGAAAAGATTTTCTGGAAAGAAAATGAACTTCTGAATATGAAACACTAGAGAAAATACTGTTATGGTCTCCTGCTGTAGCTTAAGGAAACTGTATTGATGTTGTACTGAAATTGCTGTCTAAGGAAACTAAAGTATAAGGATGAAGGACTCTGAACAGTGATTAATCGGATAATTCAACATACAGAGTGAATAGTACAGTGAACTAGCTTAAGTGAAAAGTAGGTAAAGCTAGTTTTCTTTCTCTTTTGCCCTTTCTTACCTATTTCTCTTTTAATCTTATTTTCTTTCTTTTTTCACCCTTTTTTTCCCATTCTTATTTTTAGTTAATTCTTTTTTACTCACCATAATTTGGAATTGAAGTTATTTTTAAATCAAGTATCAATGTATTTATATTTTGCTTTTCTTCATATATATTCAGATGCTAAAGCTTGAATGTAACATTTTATCTGTGTGACCACAATAAGAAACAAAGACTCCATAATCATGGTAAAGGATATTTGGTTAGTCTGAATGGTAGTGAAGTACTTTGAGAATTATAAATAATCTTGCTAATGACTTTTATAACAGTAGTATTGTGTCAGAGGTGGCTGAATAAGTGAATAAATGAGAGACTTGCTTTTGAATTTCTTTAAGAAAAACCTTTAATTAAACAGTGTGCTAAAATGTGTTTCAGGAAACCACATCTCTCCAAAAACAAATTTTATTTTCTTGTAGAAATTACTTTTTACTGGGAGAACTTGTTCTCAGTAAAAGACCTAAATAGAGTGAATTGTGTGAAAGATGAAAGATGATAGTGGGTGCAGATCCCCTTTGTATATGGCCAGAATTGGACAGATGGAAATAAAATGTTGAGGGAGTTCCTGTCTTTTGGGTCTGTGTTCTCTATGAAATTGGAGTTGAAGTTATCCTCTGACAGTTAGAAGAAAAGAGATGAGATTGAAAGCTTGAGAAGAGTGGTAAAGGTATAGAATATTTGCAGAGGGGAAAGGCAGATGGAATGGGAGGATTGCTGGCTAGCACTGTGGACCCAGCCAAGTTTGATACTGAATTTTTATGGAGTACAAGTATTAGCTTAGTAGTATACCTGTATTAGAGATTGTTTCTCTTATCAATAATTTTAGCATACCTTTTTTAAATTAAATAAATGAAGTTTTTGTCCTTTGAGGATAAATATGATCAGAACATTCTTTAATAGAACCCCTAAGTTATTCAAAGTATTTCTCTTGGTACCTTATACTGAATAAGAGTTGCTTAGCTAATCATGTAACACTTACTCGTTATATTAGCCTTTGTAAGTGTCACTTTAGTGAGGTAACAGATCACCAGCAAACACTTACATGCTGTATGTTTTTGTTTTTGTTTTACCTATACACAGGGGATTTTTCTGAAGAAAGCCATGTTATCTTGGTTAGCACGATTATGCAAACAAGTTGCGCAGTGACAGTTTGGCTCAATGGGAGAAGCCATGCAATAATACTGCATCCATTGCATAAGTAAGAGCTAGGTTACAGTAAGACTGAAGAAAAAGTGTGTAACTTTGTAAAAACTCATATTCTGTGAAACTAAGCACTGTTTGTTGTCTTTACATTGAAATATATTGAAAAATTACAGAGCAAAAGGTGTCCTGGATCTAATTTAAAGAGACTTTTAATATCTCATAGAAAAAAAGCCCATCTTTTATTTTAAAAATTTACAAGATCAGTGAGAAATCATTAACTGGCCATCATTATATTTATCAATTAGGAACACTTCTGTATAACTGTTAAAATTATTTGAATTATGGGGATTTCATTAGGATTGGATTTAAGCTGTAGTTCTTTAAATGAAAAGAAAATAAACCATTGTGCTAAATTTATAAAATAAATAATCCTTTGTCTCAGGAGTAAAGAATTATTTTCCTAAACACCAATTAAATTTGAAGTTTATTTAAAAATCATCTATAATATATGAAAAAAAGAATAGAAAGAGACCCCTCCTTCCATGGCCAGAATGCTTTCTCACACATAAAGGAAGACATAAAAGTTGAGCCATGCATACATGTCCCCTGTTGAGCTCCCAGACATATCTTTCTGGCCTTTTTACACAATATTTTCTTCCAGGGCAGGTAATAGATTACCTCTTTTTTCTTTTCTTTTTTCTTTCTTCCTTCCTTCCTTCCTTCCTTCCTTCTTTCCTTCCTTCCTTCCTTCCTTCCTTCTTTCCTTCCTTCCTTCCTTCCTTCTTTTTTTATTCTTTGGTGAGGATGGTGAAGAAGGTTTGAATCTTTCAGTAAGGAGCGAACTATAAAAAAATGTGACAAAGCAGTTAGTTGGTGAACAGGAGTATAATGAACAATATATAGAATAAAATTAATTTGTGAATGGTAATTTCTCATTTAGGTGTGAAAAATTAAGTAAATGAGTATATTTGTAGCGTTACTTGAGATACGTACTCTACAGCTTGTCCATTGGTAATGTTGACTTTATACCTCTCTGCTAGCTTCTCAAAGAATTTCTTCTCTAATATTATTTTAATTACAGTTGAAAATTACAGATGAAAATTACAGATGAAAAATTCAGTGCAAGGAAGATATGGTAGAGCTAGATACAGCTAAGAGTTAGTGAAATAATTGTTTTTCCTACCTTTTTTCTCTTTGTGACAGTACTTAGCTTTATGACCCATCTCTAGAAGACTGGTGAATCTCTAGAAGGTGAATTCCAACCTAATTTCCCTATACTATCCAGCAGCCCTCTCCTAGACTGCCTTTTTCTATTGCCTAGCCTTTTGTGCTCAGGAAATAATCAACAAAATAATTTTATAGGATTAATCTGGTACATAAGGAAACATCTTACGCATTCAAAGCAAGTAGTAATGACTTTAGGATTGTTCAGTGTTTTGTTTATCACTGCCTTTTGTCTTTTGTGTTCAGATAGTGTCTGTCATATTTTTAGCTCTGGTCCTTGTCCCACAGTCTTCTATTCCAAATTGATTTTTTGGTGCCAACTATATTTTTCTTACAGCACTTAGTATCTTTGGTCCAAAAATGACTTTTAGATCTTCACCATTTCTGCCCTCAAATTGTACTAGTCATCCATCCATTCAACACATACAGTGAACAAGACACAATCCATGCCTTCAAGGGGCCTAATAGTCTGGAAAAGTAGGCGAACCTGTAAACTGATAGCTGTGGTACATTTAAGATAATTGCTGGGATAGGGCTAAGTTCAGAGAGCTTTGGGAGAATATAGGAGGGTCACCAAACTTAGTCTTGAGGAATCTGAGTTCTTGAGAAACGGAAGAGCTCAGCTGAGGTCTGAAGACATTGTAGAAACTAACTAAACAAGAAGAGAGGCAGAGAAGGCATGTTTGGGGCACCAAAACCAACAGAGAATCTGTTTAAACACTGATTAGAAGAGCAAATAGAAGGAAGTGGTTGGTCTGGAGTCTGAATGGGCTCCTTTTCTTCTTTATTCTGATTCTGAGACAGCAGGATTTTCAAGTCAGACAAACTGAGGATTGAAGCTTCACTTGTGAGGCCTTTCCTAATCACCCTATTTAAAATAGCAGGCCTCTCTTTCCATTCACTCTTTCCCTTTGCCACTTCATTTTTCTCTAAATATATTATCACCATATGATGTCATATGATGTACTTCGTATTTTACTTCTATATTTGTTAATTGCTTGTCTCTCTCCCAATTGTAAATTTAATGTGAGGAGGGAATTTTTGACTGCTTCATTTACCACTATAGTGTCTGAAACAGCATCTAGCAGAAAGTGGATATTCAGTAAATTTTTGTTGAAGAAATAAATTCTGGTTTCCATCTGTTACTTGGTTATATGACATTTGGCAATTTACATAACCACTCGAAGCCTTGATTTCCTCATTGGTTAAATAGGAATAGTATCTACCTAATGAGTAAATGAGATAATTTGTATAAAATAATCAGCATAATAAGATTCTACGATTCTTTACGTGAAATTTTTGTGGACCAGATGTAGTTTGGAACTCGAGATCTTCATATTTTCGAAAAGTAATAAGGAGCATATGTTATAGATTACATAATGTCTTAGCAGGGTCTGGTAAGCAGCCCTAACCTAATAGTGCCATTCCTGCAGCAAAAGGTACAAATATTACACTTAAATGTGATAAATGAAGACTCTATAGCAGCTTCACATCAGTTCAGTTTTGCCTTTGAAATTTTGCTTCTGACAGTTTCCAAGTAAGGTTTTTGCAGTCAAGTTAGTTATAGAGTAACTTCCATTTTTCAGAACTTTATGGATGTTGGAACATGGATATGGGGTTGTGGATATGTGCCTGACACACAGTAGGTGTTCTGTACATGTCGTTCTTCTCTTTTTTTCTATCACATAGTTTCTTAACATATCTAGGAGAATGAGTCTCTACACAGGCAGTGATCGTTCTCTGTTTTGTTCTCTAACAGATCTCAAGTGCCCTGGGATGTAGTTCATGCTCAATAAATATTATTGACTAAATAAAGGAAATGTCATGTTTATGAAATGATATTGACTTGTGTTCATATTTATTAAGTATCTAAAGTAGAAAAATCTAATTTTAATTATTACTCTGAAGAAGACTGCCTAACAGATTTTTGTTGTGATTATTAAAAAATTCTATAATATTTTCAGTGTGTTCTTTTTTTCCCCTTGTTCATATAACAAATGATGAATGCTTTCATTATGAAAGGAGAGCTAAGGTTCATTTATTCCATAAATATTTACTGAGAACCCATCATGTACCAAGCACTGTGATGGCTAATAGGTTTAGTAGCGAAATAAGATCAATCTTGTCTCTTTTCTCTGAAAATTTCAAGTCAGCCTTTGCAGTTCTTTAGCTGTCAAGGAACAATTGTGCCTCAGATCCTTTTACTTCTTACTACTTCTGTCATCAGGGCTCTCATACATGGAACACATTTAAAGTTATATAGTACTCAACAAAAAATATTTAAAATGTAGCTGTATCTTAGTGAAGAAAAATTTTTAGGCCATGGGACAATGTTAGCATACAAAAGGATTAGTATTCTCTGCTCCATTCAGAGTATTTCTTTTCCTAACATACTTCAAAGACTCTGGGCTTAAATATATTTAGGATTATAAACATGTTTTTAGGGTTATAAACCCATATTTAGGGTTATAAACATGTAAGTAATCATTAAGAGTATGTTCATCATAATGAAAATCAGGTGTAACAAATATTTTTGAGTCCATGATGTATTTTATTATGAGATTTTATCTTTCATAGAGACTGACACAAATGAATTTTCTTTATCATTGCCTAGCTGAATTAACTTGCCTTGACATTGAAGCCATAGGGTACTGTAATTGCCTACATGCACTAAACTGTTGCTTTGATATTTGGTTAGGTTACATTATGCAACAATAAAACTCTTGGAATGCAATGCACATTAATCTTTAGCTGTGACATACTTGCGAGGAGTTTTGGAATTTATTTATGCACTTAAGAGTACTATAAAATTGTTCTTACTCTCTCCTTTTAGTTACAGTGTGTGCTCTGTCCTTCATCCACATTTGTTATGAGCTTTGCTTTACTTCTCTGTAGTTGTGATAAATTGCACCAAGGACATTCTTATGGTCAATTCTTCTTAGATTGGGAGAGGTTGGAAAAATGGTCTGTGATTGAAAAAAAGAATGGAGCAATAACCCTTAATGGATAAACTATAACTTGATGTCGAGAAAACAGTCCACAGACAGTTCTTTATACTATTCTAGTAAATTAAAAAATAGAGGTATTACTCGAAGCTCTTCGTTGAAGTTTACTTACAATGTAACACATTCTCTTGTTCACAGCATAAACAAATGTAAAAATTACTATGAAGTACTTGGAGTTACCAAAGATGCTGGTGATGAAGATTTGAAAAAAGCTTATAGAAAGCTTGCTTTGAAGTTTCATCCAGACAAAAACCATGCACCTGGAGCAACAGATGCTTTTAAAAGTAAAGTAAACCTTTTAAAGCAATTTTCTAAGCCCTTTTCAGAATCCGTTTTACAGTGTTTTAGAATATTAAATTCTGCCTTTAGACTGGTGCATTTAGAGGCCAGCATAAGCAAGCCTCCTCAAAATCCTTTAAAACTTCACTGTTAACTTGTTATACCAAGAGCCAAACAAATGCTGTTTGGCTTCACAAAAGCAACATGTCAGCTTTGGCAAAGGTCTAAGTAACTTTTCTAGATACCCGTGCATGCCTTCTAGTTTACTACACACAAGTAGTGTGATGATTATGCATGAGCTTCTAGCATGTTACCAGCTGGTTCTAAAAGAACTAAAAGCAATATATTTTTTATGAGTTTTTAAGATATTAGAGACTGTCTAGAATTGAGAAATTACTTGGAATCACTATTTGTCCAGTATTCTTCTATTTCTGTTAACTCTGGCCACTTTTTGCATATTTTATATGTAGTTCTAACTACTGTGATTTTTTTTTCAAGAATGTTTCTTTTCTCTTGGCTAATATTTTCTTCATTTTCTTTCTTATTATTTCAGTTTTTTTGCCAATTTAGTAAATAAGTGTGAGAGAACTGATTTTATAATTCATGTTTATTACAATTTATTCATAATAGTTAATTTCTGATTCATAGGAAAATGCTTAAATTTGCGATTATTTGTTCTCGTGAATTTGGCATTCATAAAACCAATGTATGATGTTTACAGTGAAATGCTGGGGTCTTGGAATAACAGGAAGGAGATAATCATTTTAAATGTTCCTAAAAGATAGACGACTCAATTGTCATTCATAAAAATACTGTTAACATTGTTTGCAAAACAGTTTTATTTTTTAAAAGAAGTTGGCAAGCAAAATACATTTGGAGATTATTAATATTTTCCAGCAGAAGCAGCTGCCAAAGTGGTGCTGGTGAAAGTAGACCGTCTCTGTGACAGTGAGAGCCTTCTCTGTCTCCTTAGATTAGAAGTGGTGTGTTGAAAGCATAGGAAAAGCTGCTTTACTCAAAAACACTAACTTTAGCACATATTCCTCCCCCAAAGTTAAAAACCTTTTTTTCACTTTCTGAATTAAAATCGTTTAATTTAAAATTTTTTGTGTTTTTAAGATGTCTAAACACATTCGGCAGTGAGTTATTTGCATGTTTGTGATCTGTTAGATGATTTCAGTATTAATTCTTCATTAATGTTAAGGACATTTAACTGCTTCTTTCTCCCATTTCTGTACTGAAGTCATGTTAGCATTATCGGTCTTAGAATAACAGTAAGTGAACCTACCAATATTTTACAGCCTGTGTTGTGTTTTGAAGAGGTGAGCAACATATATGTCACCCCACACAGACACTTAGAGGAGTTTAACAAAGGTGATTGTTCTTTGGTGTGGTACATTTCAGAGTCTAATACTACACTTTGCAAAACTAGAAACTTAATATTTATCAACATGCTTGGCGGTGATTCATCTCTAGAGGAAGGGCGCACATTATTCAATACATAGGGGGTTATTTGTAAGTCAGAATGCCAATTTATTAACTCCAAAGAGGATCATAATAGGGTGGTGGCTGATGAACCCATATATCATTGAGTGGAAACTACATAGAAAACCAAGATTGTTGGGACTTCCCTGGCAGTCCAGTGGTTAAGACTCCACGCTTCCACTGCAGGGGGCCCGGGTTCGATCCCTGGTCTGTGAATTCCACGTGCCGCGTGGCATGGCTAAAAAAAATAAAGAAAAAAAACCCAGATTGTAAGCCAGAGATGCTTGGTGAGCAAAGGTAGTTAATTAGAAAATATTACTGTTAGTGTGTCAGCACACAGAAATGGCAGGTTTCATTCATTCAACACATAGGACCTTTTCATTACCTTCTGAATCGTCTTATTTTATTTTTAAGCATTTGATCTAAATTTCTGTGTTTGGGATACCAAGCTGTTTATTCTAAGTAAAGACTATAGCTTTTTGTTTATATGAGAGGTAAGTATAGATTTATTGCTCTGTAATTGCCAAAATACTTTTTACAGAAAATGGAAACCACTTGTTTTTTATATCTTTCAAGAATAGAAAAAGAGGAGATAATTGGTTACGGAATTAAATTAGATAGAAGAGATATTTTCATTTGTGTGTTTTGTAAAACTTTAAAAATAAAAGTTTACTATCAAAGAGAGTAGACTAGGGGCTTCCCTGGTGGCACAGTGGTTGAGAGTCCGCCTGCCAATGCGGGGGACACAGGTTCGTGCTCCGGTCCAGGAGGATCCCACATGCTGCGGAGCGGCTGGGCCCGTGAGCCATGGCCGCTGAGCCTGCGCGTCCGGAGCCTGTGCTCCGCAACGGGAGAGGCCACAGCAGTGAGAGGCCCGCGTACCACAAAAAAAAAAAAAAAAAAGAGAGTAGACTAAATGAACTCTTAACTTCATGTAGCTCTTTCTTTGTTCTTTAGTTAGGTTTGTGAGTTTCTCAAAGCAGAGAATATTTTATTTACATATAGACAGTGACTTGCATAGTATATATAAACGTACCTTAAAAAAATATTTGAATCAAATGGATCCCTTTTCTTCTGTCTGATGTGGATATCTTCAAAACATGTCCAGTCTACCTTGGCCTTCAAAGACTCCCAAGTATTTCACAGTCTATTTGAATAGTACATGTGCCTGTTTACATATACTTGAATATAATGACAAGGGCATTGATTAGCTGTTTATATGTTTGCTTGATAAATAATAATGGATCAGATGCTACTGCCTGTGTTAGGTTTGGTAGTTCAATATTCTTAACATCTAGAGTGAATCTATAAGAACAGAGATATCAGTTCTACCCTATGGGCTAATTCTGAGAGATATACAGTAAGAAAATATGAGATACCCTCTTACTCAAAGAATGTGTAATTTTTGAAGAGGAGACAAGACTCACACAGAACATTTGGAATAATGGTAATACCTAACATTTGACAAGCATTTTATAGTTTTTTCATTCTTATTTTTAAAAATTTAATGCTTATTAACAATCTTCTGAAATAGATGGGAACCAGTGTCATTCTTTCACAAATAAGAAAATTGAGGCTCAGAGAGATTAACTGATTTACCCAGGATCTCCCAGAAGACTGAATGTAATTAAATTCAAAACATAGAATAAAGATGTCTGAAGAAAAGTCAGAAAGATAAAGTAGAATTATAATGAGTAATTGGAGAAGCCGTCATATAATTGGTGAGAATTAAGAGTTTACACAAGATGTGTATGATTTCTATGGTTAGTGAAGAGAGAAGATGACAGAAACTTGGATATGAGAATGAGGGAAGTGATATAAAAGTCAGTGACGGGCTTCCCTGGTGGCGCAGTGGTTGAGAGTCCGCCTGCCGATGCAGGGGACACGGGTTCGTGCCCCGGTCCGGGAAGATCCCACATGCCGTGGAGCGGCTGGGCCCGTGAGCCATGGCCGCTGAGCCTGCGCGTCTGGAGCCTGTGCTCCGCAATGGGAGAGGCCACAGCAGTGAGAGGCCCGTGTACCGCAAAAAAAAAAAAAAAAAAAAAAAGTCAGTGACAACGTCCACTTTCAGGAAGATGGAAGAGATATACTTTTCCCTCTTCCTCACACTAAAGTGCAATTGGATATTAGTTATAAAATAAAACAAACATAAGAAAACTGAAACATAGAGGGAAGAAGGTAGACCAGCTAAGGACCTTGGGACCCAAAGAACAACATGGCAGTGTGTTGCTTGGGTTGCATTTTGCCTTTTATGTCTTAGACTGGGTGCCGGAGAAGCAGATAACCCAGAAACACCAATGAGCACAGACAAACAATTCCCAAGAAAGGCCTGCTGTCTCTAGCCAGACAACCCGGAAAGGGGCAACATAGCAAGACAGAAAACTTTTAAGCAGTAGCCGTTCTACCGCAGCCAAATACCACAGAAAAAACTGTGGCCCCACCCACACCCACACCAGCGGAGGCTGAGAACCTATACTGTCACCCTCTCCAGGCTGTAATGAGATGCTCTACCCTCCCAACTGGGGTGGTAACATAGAAGATTGAGTAGGGAGCTGTCACTTCCACTGCTACCAGCAGTAACAAGGTATCCCTTCCTCTCCCCCACCACCCGGGGTAGTGTTATAAGTGGCCTGGAATTTCACTGCCATCCAGAGGTAAGCAAAGCCATATCATTGTGGTGTCATTAAAGCCACCTGGGGAGCAATAATGAGGCACCCCTCCTCTTTCCAGCCAAAGAGATATCAGTGGAGGCTTGATTGGGGACTGGAAATCCCATCCCTGCCCATCAGTGATGAGGAGCCTCTTCTTTCAGACGTCATCAGAGGCCAAGGGGGAAACCTCAACTTCTGCTCCCACCTTGGAGTAACAAGATGGTATCCTCACTTCCTGTACCAAACAGGACAATTAAAACAGAAGCTTTAGAAAGGTCGACAGCTTTATAAGATAATACCTCAAATGATCACAAATCAATTGAAAACCACTTACCATACTAAACATTAGGAACACTTCAAATCAAATTTAAAAAGTCAATCAACAGAAATGCACATGAAGAAGACAGAAGAGTTAGAATTGCCTACCAAAGGCTTTAAAGCATCCATCATAAAAATGCTTCAATGAGCAATTACAGATATGCTTGAAAGATTTAGAATAAAAGTCTCAGCAAAGAAATAGAAAGTCAGAGCAAATAAACAAAAGGTATAAAGAATCAAATAGAAATTCTGTAAATTAAAAGTGCAAAACCAAAATGAAACTAGCAATGAATAGCATAAACAGCAGAATAACAGAGGAAAAAAAAATCAGTGAACTGGAAAATAGAAAAATGGACATTATTCAGTCTGAACAGTGGAGAAAATAGACTGAAAGAGAAAAAAGGAACATAACCTCACATACAAGTGAGACTATAACAAAAGATTTCACATTCTTATATGTTTCCTAGAAGAAGAGGAGAAAGAGGGCATAGCTGAAAAAGTACTAAAAAAAAATAAAGGTTGAAAACTTCAAATACCTGACAAAAGATATA